TGAAATCAGCGGTACAGTTTTTAGAGTGTAACTCCACAGCAAAATCTGTGCTGTAATAGTTATCCGAATTTGGTGTAGAAAAACTCTAGAAATTGCGCATTACTTAACATTAATACCGAATTTGTCTTTCATCACACTTTGAAGGGTGTGATTAAATCTTAACAATAATTGATAAAGCTTTCTACAAAATGAGATGTCTTCACTGCATTCAAGGTTGGCAACAGGCCGAAGGAAGTTTTGTTGTCGTTTTTAAGTGTTCAGTTAAATTTTGGAAAATAAAGTTAAATTGTAATTTTATTTCAGTTAAAAGTGAAATATGGTTGACAACAGACTCCAATCACATATAATAAAGGAGTTTACTTAAGTATCAAAATTATTTCTGAAGATAAGTTAGGATCTACGATGGCGGATATCGAAACCTAACTAGGCTTAGCTATCGACCCCATGTACCTAAAGGAGTGCCAATTCCACGATCATAGTCGTTTATTTGCTAGATTGATTTTTGTTCAAATTAATTTGACAAAACAATCACAGTCTATTTAATACCAAAGTTTCAATTCTCTTTACGGAATGAGTGAAAATATTGAGATTGTGATCAATAATTTATCATATAATATCCATCTTCTTACCAGATTGAATAAACATACTGATAATATAAACAGTTATGAAAGGCATGAGTGTTTTTAGTTCTATAATAAATATATTTATATAACAAGATTTATATATATCTGTCAATTGTATTAAACAATTTTATAACATATAGCTTCTATTCATTTCAGTTTTGTTAAGTCTAGTTCGAATTCCTAATAATATTCTCTCTGTGCTGCCTTTATGTTTGATTAACGAAATAATTTTATTTTGAAAAAATATTGAATCTGTGCATTCTTACTTATATCGTAAAAATAACTTTACTAACTGTTTTGAGTATCATATCTCACAGTAATTATTAATTTTAGTGGTACTGAGAAACAATGTTGGGAACAGCTACTTTGCCCTAAGCAATATGGTACTCACTTCATCAGGAGCTATCCATTGTTCTTGGTGTAGTGAAACACTACTTTGGTGTAAAGTATAGTTACCATAATTTTTCATGCTGAGGTACACATTTTTCTTTACAGTGTAAGTACTCTGTTGTAGTTCAGAACCAACATTGACTTTGCCGCCATTTATTTTTGATTCTGGATGATCACGTGGCTAATATGTGAGATTAGATTTACTTGCGTGAAACTTAAAAAGCCAGTTTGATTGTCTCTTGTGTGTAATAACACAATAGCTAAGTGCACTCTTTTGAGTGGTCTGTAACACTCCTATTCCATATAATAACTCGTAATTTATAATAATGCAAATTTCCGACCCATCCATTTCAACAAAAAGTTTTCAATATTTTTTCGAGCTTACGATGGTTTTTTTTTAATTATCTAATGTTTGCAACTTTCTAGAAAACATTAAGCTTCTAAAACTGACAACATCTTTAACTACGAATTTCATCCTTGATGACAAAATGCATTATCATTTTATTAGTTTGTTAAAAAAAGTTCTGCAACACCCTTGCATCATCTCTTGCTTAAAGATCTCGTTTATAGCAATAACGTATCAAAACCCGAAGTTCAGTTTCACTTAAAGTCATTTAGAGCTCATTGATGAAAATTTAAACTAAGAACACCGAAAACAGCGACACAAAATGAAAATTTAAAAATTTTCGCAAGAGTTTTACTACTAGTTTATATTAGTTTAACTACCTAATATTTACGACTAAATATAAACAAATCCTGAACAAGAAAGGCAAGCTTTAAAATTTCAAAATTGTTTGATTGGCAAAGGAAATTAAAAAGAATTGAAAGGCAATTATTTTTAAAACCTTCAAATTCGTTACGGCAATCAAACGAGTTTTGAAGTTCTAGATCATGCCACTTTCAATAGTGATCCATCATAATTTGACAAACATTTATGCTTCAATAGATCAAACTAGGATTGGAGAAAACTGCACAGATTTGTTGAGAACGTATAATCAGCCATGCGAGTAAGTACAATACAGAATTCTATTCTGATCTCTTCAATTTGCAAAATGTACACTTATGTTATATATTATTAATAATATATAATAATTAATAATTGCTTAATATATAATAATTAATAATTGCTATATATAATTAATAATTGCTTTAAACTTATCTATTTCCGCTACTAATTTTTAGCTTACCCCTTAGTGGGTACCCTTAGTCGAACCAAACTTTCATTCTATAAGACTCATGCAAATTTTGGTTATCCTGCTCTCTCATAAACAGGAGACCTACTTTATTTCTTTTTTTTTTTTTTTTTTCTTNTCACGGACATGCTTTTTTTTTTCTCAAATTGAAAGGGTTGATAAAAAATACCGAAATGTTTAAGAGATGAAAATTATAGATAAGCAAATTATATCATAGCTTTAAAAAAGTGGTTTTACTGCGAATTTGACGTCTTGCTTAGCATCGAATTGGAAATTCATAAAATAGTTGATTACGCTTCTGATTTGAAATATAATTACTAACAAACTGCCGAGTACTTTGGAATATTAAAACTGTAGCAGAAAAATGTAGTATATGGGGTAAAAAATGTGATATATGTGATACCCGAATGTAATGAATACACATATGATAGCGTTAAAAATACTGAATAGTGATTGCACAGCTATTATTCAGGGTTATAAAGGTTTGGTAGCGCAGTCACGATAGACTACCTATGACCAATTAACAGAATCAAATGAGAGTATATAAACTGAATGCAAAGTTGAGCTAAGAAGGCTGCATCCGGAACGGAAAAGATATAAATAATATGTTTTCGAGGCAGAAGATTTTATCATTCCTTTACACATATCAAGCAATGTGTGATATAGATATCGGAAGTTGACCTGTTTGCATTAAACTATTTCAAATGTATGAAAGTCGAGAAGTGCAGAACAAAGCAATGCGTATTGGTAAAATTTTAGTGGTTATTTTGTATTTCTTCGATTACCTCTAATCATTTCATTAATATTAGTAATGAATTCATGGGAGATAACGTAAATCTCTTACCATTTTTTTTAGATATCCTATATTGATATTTGGCTTTCACGAAAGCTTTCACACGATTTGTTCACAGACGCTTGTCATAGACAGTGTTTGGAGAAGACAGTATGCTTTCATCTAAATTCACATTACACTCACCATTTACCACTGAAAATTATACTAATGAACATTGTTCTGTTCTGTTCGAATCTTCACAGCTTTCCTACATTTCAAATACTTTATTGAGCAGCCAGGTGGCCGAGTGGTTAGCGTGCCTGACTGCGAAGCCATAGGCTGCGGGTTCGAATCCCGCTCTGGGCATGGATGTTTCTCTCTCTCTCTCTTTGTGCTGTCCCCTGTTGTGTGTGCATGATGTGTGAATGTGGCCCACCCAATAAACAGGTTTGTGGCAGTGTGGCGTGGGCAATGTTGCTCGTCTTCGTGACTTTGGTTCACAGGTGCCCACTGGGTAACGCGAAATGAGCAACAATTCTGTCATAGTATAGGTAGGCAAAGATTCAAATTCAGTGCCTGCCATTGGAAAAAAAAGTACTTTATTGCACACAGGTTTGTTAGAATCGACATGTTGCGCTCCCTGTACCTCAATTTATATCCTAAGAAGTGGCGCTGCTAACGCTGTATTCCTGACGCCATCAAGCACGCCAACCTTCTATTTTGGTAATCCTAACAACTTTTTATTTCAAAAATAAAGTTCTTTTTCCTATGTATACATTTGATTAAGACTTTGCACTTTCCTCATTATTTTTTAACTGATTAAAAATTTCCATTAGTTTCAGAAAAAAACAAAACACATTAATGTTGCTCATTCATTATTTTTGTTTTAAGGAATTTGAAAACTTATAGTTCAGAAATGATTGAAATGGCGTTATCACTGTCTAGGACGTTATAAATCCATTACTGGTTTATTTTTTTCATAAAAATTTAAAAAAGTTCTAGACTGAAAGTTCATTTTTGGGTTATTAATTTCTCCTTTAAATTATTGAATCATATATATATATTTTGGAGACGTTCACTGGGTTTCGTAGCAATCCTAATAATGGAATGGTAAAAGGATTTAATTTTTGACAACGGAACAAGTCTTGTTAATATAATTGTTGTTGACCGCAGCTGTTAGCTAAAGTAACTTTTTGTCGGAGTAGTTAAACAAAATTTTTAAAATTCTTTAATTTTTTTTCAATACGCAATTGTGTTTTTTACATCATTGTCAGTCGAAAATTTTATTCATCTTGTTTTTATTTTCAACACATTTTTCTACTTTCAGAAACATTCAATATAGTATGAATACGGAAGAAAAATTCGTGTACCGTAAATTTACATATGTAAGTATTTCTATCCAAGTATCCTCTTTCATTTGACATGATCGTTTTCAAAGATAAATTGACGACAATATTGTACATAACATTATAAATCGATCCTTGAAAGATTTATTGTGTACTGATAATAACACAAATATGGGGTTAAAAGAAAAATACAATTCCCTCGAACACTCATGGGATTCTACATAACTACTCATGAGAATATATAAACACGATATATTTTAATAAGAACATGAACTTCTTCAACTTTTAAGAAGTTCATAGTTTAGTGGTTAACGGGTGATAATCATTTAAAGCTTGAGACGTAATTATTCTTTCATCATCATCATCATAGTGAGCCAGACAGCCCCATGCTTATCTCAGAAGATTTCTCCAAAACGACTTCCGATTTATCTTTGATCTCCAATTCTTCTCGTTAACTGCAGGAAAATCAGACTCCACCAAGTCAGCCCATCTCAACCGCGGCCTTCCCCGCAAAGCAGTATCTTTTTTATTGTATTTTCATGACTCATTCGTATCACGTGGGTCATCCAATTCATTCTATTTATTTTTATGCATTTAATAATATCATTTTGTTTATAAATCTTGTACAGTTAAAAGTTAAATCTCCTTCGCCAGTTATTGTTTTCACATTTACACCAATAAGTATACTCCTCAAAATTTTTCTCTCAAATATTGAGATACTCCAGTTTTGTCATTGTCCAAGCTTTTGAAGCATACGTCAAAACTGGCCTGACAAGAGTTTCGAAGATGAAGAACTTTGCATTTCTAGAAAGAAACCTAGATTTAATAAATCTTCTCAGCCCATAGACTGCCTTATTTGAAAGATATATTCGATTTTTTATTTCAGGAGTCATTTTGTTGTCAATAGTAATAATTAATTCTAAATAAGTAAAACTCCTTACTGTTTAAAATCTATTAGAATCTAGGAGTCTGCGACTCTGTTTCTTGAGAATAAGATGTATTTTGTTTTCTCTACATTTATGACTAAAGCAATTTGTCTTGCAGCCACGTCAGGGGTTATTATTTTTATTTAATAATAATTCTCGTATCAACAATTTGAATATTTTTAATAGAAAATTTAACTGCAGTAAAAAATTAAAATATTAAAGAATCATACAATACAATTCAAGGTTTTTACTAACTAAAGGAATATTCCTACTGAATATGATTTGATCATTCTACTTAAAATGCAACTATGAAATTCTAAATGTATATTTTATTTTGATGAAAAAGTGTCAAAAATACTATCCGTGCAGCGTTAGAAAATATTTTGCATTAAAATGAAAGTTTTGTTTCCAAAACATTTGAATTCTGCACAAAATCGTTTAATAATAAGAAAAAGAGAAGGAAAGAATTAAGATGAAAACTGATTAAACTTTTCTGTTCGGTTTCGAAAACTTTTGTCAGAACAGTCTGGAGCAGGTTCCAGAAGCTCCGTGTTGGGGAACTGACCCACTATCAAAATTTGAATTTCTTGCCAATTACCTTTTTGCGGTTACAAATTTCGACTACCAATCGCGTTATCAAATGTTTACGTGAATTACTAGAATACAAGTCCCGCAGTGGACTGATCGTTAAGACACGGCTCCCAACAGATCACCGAAGTCAAGTGGCTGCGGTCAGTGTGCGGGTGGGTGACCACTTGGATCAGCCTGCCTAGGGACCAAGAGTGTGCGGTATTGATCCTCGTTAAACTGTGCTACCGTAAAGTGCTCGACTTCGCGTGCAGGTCGTTGGGCTACCGAAGCGGGGGTGCCATCCCCTCTGCAGAGGATCAAAATTGTGATGGCATGTCTTCGGATCATCCTCAGGGATGTTTCCCAGACTGTCGCCAATAGCCCATTGTGCAGCTCTAGTGCGACGTAAATAAACTACAACTACAACTACTAGAATACAAAGTAATACCCTGATAATGCATTTTTATTATGGATTTTCTTCGAAGGCTCTATATTCACATAAAATAACACTTTCAAGAAATATAATGCTACTTTTTATAACTATTGTAAGTTTTAAAAAGCTATATTTATGGTTGTTAGGTTTTACTTACGTCGACGCTTATTACGAAAATGGCTTAATGTATCAATATGGAGAAAAAATGTGAAATATTTTGTGAAAATTAAAATTGTTTCAAATTGAGTTTTTCAATATGTGACAAATTACTCCTATGTTTCGTTGCCTGGGCTTATAAAAATTAGCTAAAATTGAGAATTATTCTTTGATTTCATTTAATTTCTTCTAAGTGAAAAAAATTCGCGATTTAAATATTTAAACTATTTAATGGTTCTGAACCCCAGATTAAATCTTTAAAGCAAAATAATATACATAGTTTAAATGTATTGCTTTGTTTCGTTTCAATATTAAATTTTGTCTTTTTTTATTTCCTTTGGCTAAAGATATATGAAAAACACCATTAAACAATGCTATCACCACCTCCATATTTGGTCACTTAAATATCGGCAGTCCCATGATTTTTGTCATTTGAGTGTATTATAATCTATGTGAAGTTAGTATTTTAAATATAAATGAGGCAAACAATGTTATCAGTAGATTTAACAAATAATTCTCGTTTTTTGTTTCAGAAAAGTCCGTTTATGCGAAGAGGTGTGGTAAGAATTTATTTACATTTACATTAAATAGTACATCATTAACTATCTATTATTATTTTACCTAACTACCTTGAAATGGTTCTGAATAGTTTAATTTGGAAGAAAAGTTTCAATAACAGTGTTTTCCGGGTAGCCTACATAGGAAAAAAATTATTTTATTTTTTGGCAGAATAAAAGCTCTGTTTATCACATTTAAATGATGTGGGAGGATTCTTCGGGTGGGGATAGAATTTTGTTACGAAAGTGATGCACCCAACGATTTTAGTTTTAGGTTCGTAAACTGTTCAGACGATAAATTCAATTAACCACAAAATATCTGCTTTAATACTCAGGAAAGAATTGAAACTTATACTCTGATCTAGCATGGAGCTTCAGGTCAAATTTTAGCACACCAATTCATCAAAAAGTTGAAAAAAATATTGTATATAGTCTGTTTAGCGATGAAATGGTCATGTGGTAGCCGTAGATTAAAATTAGGAAACTATTGCACACTTTACTGTCATTCAAAACAGAACACCAATGGATAACTGAGAACTGGTAGGAAAAGGGTTGAAATTTCGATTGCAAGAAGCCGCCTTTACGTATACAATAAAGACAGTGTAAAAGAAATGAAATATATAATAATTGTATTGAATTTAAAATTCTTATCTTAGTTTTGAATTATATGCATTGATATTTCTTACTCGAAAAGTTTTTTTTTAAAAAAAAATTTCTGCATTCTTTATGCATTTCGTATTTTGTTTGTCCGCAATGAACTTTTCTTAACGTGCTCTGAGAAAGAAGAAAACAAAGTTGTTATTTCGTGCTAAAAAGATCATTCTAACTCAATTTCAATGCTTTTATTATCAGGGTAAGGTTCCAATAAAAAAAAAACAATATATATCATCTGTACCAGGGCTCGAAAAACCACCCGTCCGTCCGTCCTCGGCGGTCGAAAATTCCCCGCGGACAACAAATTTCTCGAAGCCGACGTCCGCTCGGACGGCCACTTTTCCGTTAATGTTCGAGATAAATTTTCAATTCTTGTTATCTTACAAGAATCTAGCTCCTCACTTCTAAAATGACCCTCTAATCTAGAAATACAGAAGCATACTGCGCATGGTGGAATTTATGTTTTCTCTGTCTGGGAGTATTGCAGCAGTTGAAAGGGGCTTTTCAGCAATGAACTTGCAAAAAAAAAAAACACAATACGTACTGGTCTTAAACAAGAAGCGTTAAATGCAATGATGAACATCGATTTAAATGGAAAACCCCTTTCAGATTTCTGCGCAAAAGCCTCTGTAAATCATTGGCTTGATTGCGGAACTGGCAAACATCATATTTGATTCATTTAAAAAACGCAGTACCCTCGGATAAATTGACATTCCAGATAACTTGGCCTTTGTCGTTTAAATTATTTCATAAAAGAAAGAAATTATTTCATAAAAGAAATACTAGGTTTTACTATTAGTAACCAAGTATTTCTTTTATTATTGTATAATGTAATCCTAGTATTTGCAATCCTAGTAACTACTAATTCATTGTGCAATTTATAAATGTTAGAAATAAATAAGAGGAAATTATATTTTTATTTATTTAGAATCTACGGGTTAGTTTCAAAAGAGGACGGGTACATTGTTGGATAAGCCGTCCTCGGGAACGGATAAAATTTCTGAGTTTTTTCGAGCCCTGATCTGTACAATGCGCAAAAAAAAAAAAAAAAAGAACCTTGGATAATTTTTGATCTTGTCCGATTCCATGTACCAGGATTCAATCTTTACGGCTCATGAGAGTTGACTTCAAATATACGAATACGAAAATACGAAATCACGCAGGAAAAAAAAATAATAAACATACTTTTTTATAAAACGTCTTTGGATTCTTGAAACCCTTAAAATATGAGGAGTAGCCACAATCGGTGAAATGCAGTCCCAATTACTTTGGGCAAGAGCGCAATCGAAGGGGACTTCATAAAGTAAATTATACTTTTTCATATTTCGCCATCTCTCGAGAACTTGTTACATTTTAGCATATGATTATAATATTCGTTTATCCAAGAATAATTCCATGCAAAAAATATTTTTTATTTTAATTTTATTTATTAATTGTCGAAAATATATTGAATAGTTTGACAAGCAAATTCTTACATAGCTTTAAAGAATGCAATATTATACAGAAAATTGTGAAATTTGGATAAAATCTGCCAAATGGTTTCTGAGAAACCGGCTTTTAAATAATTTTTTTTAAAAATTTGATTTCTCAGAATCTATTCAACCGACTTCAACTAAATTTCGTATTTTTCTATATAAAATTACTGTGATGCCACAATTGGCATTACATATTTATTTCCTATCTTTTAAAATATCTTTTATTACTTAAGCATATTTTTATAAATCGAATTATATTTAAACTAAATCAAAGACTAAATCTTTTAAAACGAACATAAAATATTTTTTTATCGATAAATGCAACGGATACTTTTTATTTCATTACTAATGCAGACTTATTAATTCACTACCGCTCCTAATCGAAAACAAAAATCTATTTATAACTTTTTAATTCTAAATTTCTAACTGCAAAGTCTCAGTTGTAATAATTCCCATAAATTTGTTCCCATAAATAAATTCCCATAAATTGCCAAGGTATTTATGAACCCAATATTGATAATGCTGGGTTGGCTTTGTTTTGGCTGTGTTATATTTTGATAATTCACCAATTTTGGATCTCCTATCCATGCTTCTCCTACGTCCGTTGGGAACAATTACATTCACTTTTAATTTCAAATTTGTGGAGACTGGGAGTGCCCTTTCGGGACTCCCCAGTCTCAGTTTTAACAGCCAAAAAAATTACATTCATGCTGTATCATCTCTCGATCTGAAAGAGTATTTAATTTGATCTCTTTAGGTGATTTTATTTTTGTATGTTGAATATGGCCATTATCCATCATATCAATTCTTGATTAATAAATCAAATTTTTACTTAAACGATTTGTATTACTGGAGGCGATCATTTTCTACATCCATAATTTTTGATGTATTTTTTAACGGCAAAGTAAATCCATGATGAATTTATATATTTCCACTATATGCTAAATGGCGGCCACTGCCACCTCCACCACAATTACATTTCCTCAAAATGATGCTAAAATTTGCATAACTTACAACTTACATTTTTTAAATCTTAATTAATAAAACAATAAAAAATTATTATTTAAAATCATTTTTGGCATGATTTGCTTTGGATAACACGAGTTTTACAATTGCTTTGTAAACATTTCTCGTTTCACTAACAACAATAAAAAGTTCTCGAGATATGGCGAAATGTGCAAAAAGTAAAATTAACATTAATAGGTCCTAACAATCGGCAACACTCTTCTGTCCAAACTATTGGGAGCATATATCACAGATTGGGGCTACACCACGTATCTTGTGGTTCAGAAATTGAAAAAAAAACGTACTTTTATTCAGGTATGTGTATTCAGTACAAGATTTCGTAACTAAAAATATTGTCCTAATTAAAATAAGCATTTTCGAGGGGTCGCCTTCAAAATTAGAAATAGAAGTAAATTATTCGTTTAATAAAACCATTCTAAAATCAACCTAAAAGATTCTAAAATTAAAGTTAATTACGGTCAAACTTCCTTGGACTCCCACCGGTTCCGTGCTAGTTTATCATCCAGCGGCTATGGGCTAGTTCATCATTCAACAGATCTAGCCTAATTTTTTTTCCAACGACTCTGGTCTACCACCTTTTATCCTCGTGTCAGCAATGCGAATGAATCCTAAACCGAGCTTTTCTCCTAAGAGCAGCAGCGCAACACAGTGAACGTCACAACAACAACAAAAAATTCCATGATAAAAACAGTCACAAATTAAATAATTCTTTATAAAAGGGATAAAAAAAAAGTACTAATTAAATATAAATAAACTTAAATATACATAATTCAATCCAAAAATCTCAGTTTATAAAATTTACGAAAAATATTACTATTGTGAATTAATTTAAAACTTATAATAGTGGTGCCACCAGGAGGCATATTATGTTTTACGCCATCAAATCTTAAAAAGAATTCGCTAATAATCAGAGCTAATCAGTGCAACCATCTATTGAAGAAATAAGTGAACTATTTTCGCTGGAAAAGTAAAACAATCTTTAAAAGTATTTATAAAAAAATACAATAAATTTCAATTTATTACACCATAAGCCATTAATACTGAATCCTGGAACATGAAGACTTAATCATTAGATCAAAAGTTATTCAGGATGTTCCATTTTTTCCCACACTGTACAACACCAATATATACAAAGTTATTGTATATGAACTTTACAGTATCAGAACATAATTTTCTGCATTTATTTTATTTTAGGAGCTAATATTGAAGGAGCAAGGGGTGAGTATGAATTTATGACAATAAATATAGTTTTTTATTTTAGTTATAAAAGGTTTCCTTCAGAATCCTGGAATCTTAAATTGAATAGTAAACTGCTTTAGTATTTCATTACATTTTATTAATTATTTTTTTTTTTATTAATTACTAGTTAGTTATTTTTTTTAAAAAAATCTCATAAAAACCAAAATAAAAACGACTCAATTATAATAAAACTACTTTTTTAATTTTCTATAATGTTAAAGGAAAATTTAGTTATATTTCTAACTATTAAATTAGTATCCTGCATTCATAATATTAAATTAAATGTACTAATTCACTCATTTATTTTTTTTTTCAGTACAACTGCACACACGAAAATATGTATTCAAGAAGGTGAGAATGGAATTACTATTATACGACTAATAAACAAAGTTTTCTATTCCTTTAAACTTCTAAATCTTGGAAAATGGCACGACACAGGAGGGTTAAGCTTTGTAATACTATTTACTCCTGGGAATTCAAATTGCTAACTTGTAGCTTTTTAATATTGTAACACATTTATAACTTTTAGAGGAAAGATTGTTGATGGTTAACATTTTAAGTCAGAAAGGATGTTTATAATATTCAACTTCATTATAAACTAATTTTTCCAACAATATTCATATCATATTGAATGTTTCTAGTAATAAAATAAAATATATTGAAGATTAAGAAAAGTAAATACAAAAGATAAATAAAACGGTTTGCTGACAATATAGTAAGGAATACAAACACGTTAGTAAAATTGACTTTTTCCTTAAAACTGACAAAACAAACTATACTTCGTTGCAAGTTAAGAAAAGACCATTGCGATATAGGATTTAATTAATCATCCGTGACTGCATATAGTTCCTTTTATTTAGCTATTAAATTATATAATTATGCTTTCAAAGCAATATAAAAGCTTTTAAAAGTCAAACTCGTCGAACAAAATTTTAATTCGTACTTTTTTTAATAAGCCAAAAGAAGGTCGTACTACGTCGTTTCAAGTGTTGGTAATGTTGATATTCGTGCTTGAAGTTTGGCATCCATTTAACGTGCACTTGATGCAAACAGATTCTCTCTATAGAAATAATGGTTTTTTCTTTACTCGCAACAGAGTATAGGGACAATTACGATAGAGAACAAATTTTTTGTTTCATTTGTGCAAGCACTTGATCTTGCCTAATTCGGATGTGGAAATTTCAAATCTAAAATAAGTTTTGCTCCTAAAGTTGTTTTAAAAAGCTATATATATAACAGGGAACAGTGTAAATGTTGCGGCGAACTTAAAGAGAAGTTAGAGCACATCGTCAGGATTAAAATTACTTCGGAATCCATGCCCAAAAATTATATCTTACGCGGCTCCCGGCGATTTTCTATTTTGACCTGTTTCGAAGCACCCGAAGAAACAGTTCAAAATAAGGAAGCGCATCGAACGGCATATAACGACATTTACGGTCGTGGTTGAAATTCCATGCAATTTTTATTCTGATGATGTGCCCTAACTTCCTTAGAAGTTTGTCGCAACACTTATACGACCCCTTGTTACATATAACATTTTTAAACTTGCCCTTTTCGGCAAAGATTAGATTAAAAATGTCATTTAAAAAAATGTAGCTTGGAGAGAGAAACCGATTGCAGATTTGAAAACAGAGAGACGAAAGTATATAAAATCTGATCTGATAACAGAAAACAAGAAAATAAAACAAAAAAATCGTTCCCCAGTGTTATTCATATTTCTAAACAAACTTCAAATAAATAACACTCCAAATTATAAGTTCCCAACCTATGATCCCGATACTTCTGAATGGACCAAAGCAATTATTTGAAATAGTATTAGTAATCACGTTTAAAAGAGATATTTTGAGTTGATTTTGATGCCTCTTACCAGCCTGTTTTTGATGTTTGGACAGATTTCACCGGCCTTTAGGTTTCTACCTCCCTTAAATATTAATTTGCAATGTCTAATATGTTCCTTTTTTGCTTCATATTTGACAAGATTCTAAAAAGATTTATATAATTGATGGTCGTTTTAGAAAACTTTGCACAAATATTAGCTATAGATGTTTTGTTATTGATGCATTTTCTTACATTAAAAATATTATTAACATTTATGAAAATATTTAAAGAACATTAGGCCTTTTCTCTTGCAGTGAGTGTTCGAAAATTTAGCACTTCATCTATGATTATTTCATTGTCAAAAATGCTTAGCTCAGTATTTTTCATAAGTGTTTTTAAGAACTTATTAATCTTTTTGGATTTTAGATGTCAAACAATGTGGATTGAAATTGTATTTGATGGTTTCGATGTGACAAATATGACATACAATGCAAAATATGAAGTAAGTATCTTGTTTATATATTTCTTTTAAAGAAGTTATTTAGAAACTTAATTACTTATTAGCCATGAGCAACCAAGTTCATAATCCTCCATACAAATGAGCTGACTAAAATTACGACTGCAACACAAGACTTTCCTAGATTAAAGTAAAATCACAAGGAAAAAATTTTAAGAGCATCGCCAAACCGATTACACGCCACATTCAAATGTTGAAATTCTGTGATGAAATTCTTCGATGAAATTCTGTTCATCTTTCTTTTTTAGATAGTATTCTGATTTTAGCAGCTTTATTAATAAAGTTTAATATAATTTTAATGCCACAATCTCTTAATAGCAAATGCAGAAACTGTTTCAAGTTGTTTCTTTCCTGTGTTTTGTATATTATTTCATACTTTTTTTCCTTTCTTTCTTTTTGTCTTTCCTGACTCAACTTATAGAAAAATACCCCTTTGTTCTAACTGTAATTTAAAGAAAATTGTAGCATAATTATAAGTAAAGAAACTATCACTTTCTCAGTACAATGCACTTTAAATCAGTTGTTCCAGTGACATGTATTGCACACTTTCTTTTTCGCAATCACCTCATACCGAAATTACATATTCCGTTTTCTAAGAGTTAAAATTCAGAAGTGCAGTCGCTAGTTATGAGTGCAATTGCAAATCCTAACTATCATTTATCTAAATGATGATCAGCTAAATGATATTTTTTTCTGGGCTTATTAGCTAATTAGCTCAGAAAATAATTTCACAAACCACCTCGGGATGTTGCTACAATTTTAATCACTGCAACACTCATTTTTGCATATATTTTTTTTATTATTATATAATTATTCTTCTTTATTGCAGAGTTTGGAACTGTTCAGTGTGATAGGTGGTTACATGGGAATGTACCTTGGATTTTCGATTGTGACTGTTTATGATTTTGCTGAAATAGTGATGCGAAGAGTTTATACTTTTTGGCGAAAGCATTCAAAAAATAAAAAGCAGTCGAAAAAGCATAATAAAAAAATATTTATCTCAAAAATTGAATCGAAAGTTCAATTTGAGATTTCAAAGGATGGAGTCACTAAGAGGGCTCATAAAATGTGTTAATTTCAGAAATTAAATTTCTTTCCTTTGTAACCTTTGACTTGTTATCTGCATTTTTATTATTATTATCGAATTCTCGCTAATTCGTCATAGAATGACTTACTATTTGTGCACTGAAATAAAGAAATAAAAATGATGGAATATTAATTGCCTCACTTTTACAATGGTTTTGTAATGTCACTCAATATAAGCAAAAATATATTTACTACTGCATAATTATGAAAATGTAATCATATTAACCTTAAAATTTCAAATGAACCAAAAAGTACGAGAAATTATAACTTCTTGTCAAGGGACAATCTCTATATATACGAGTAAGTAATGGCAAATAATCAAATTGATAAGCCTAATTACGGTTAGGCTCTTGAGCCCTTAAGAATAAGTTTTAGCACAGAAAAATCCAATCATTAAGTTCAACGTATTTATTTATTTAATTTTTTTACAAGCAGTGCACCAAATTAAATATTTGCAGCAGAAGTTTCAAATTCTAATATGAGCAGAAGAACTTGATTTATAAGGGAGGAAATTCAGATTTAGGAAATAAAAAAATAATACTGGATATAATATGGATAGTATTAAAATTCTGGAATGCCATACAGGTACGTAATATTGCTAATTATAAATCGAAATTTGCTTTCATTACCTTTTCTCTTTTCATAGGAATATAAAGTTGCATTTTGTCTATGCAAAACAACTAGTTCAAATTTTTATTTATTTTTCGAGTGAACAGTTTATTATATTTAATGATTATGATAATAAAGTATTTATTTAAAAGTCCTCATAAGGAATCTTTATATAAGCATTTGAAAAAAAAAAATTCCTTAGAAAGTTACAATAATTCAACTTTTTTTAAAAAAAATAATACTATTAATACTATTTGTTTTAACAAATTACTACTATTAATTAATAATAATTATTATTTTAGGGACGTTAAAGATCACGTAGTGTAAAACTGATCCATAATGTTTATTCATTTAAACAACTCTTAACTTTTCCAGAACCTTTATTCTGGGATAATTATCTAATCCTTATTGATTTTTCATTTAATGACATTATTAAACTATTCTATTATTAGCCAGACGTCTTCAAAGGCCGATTCTCCTATATCTGTTTATGGGGAATCTGCTGCCTTAGGAATCATTATATCATTATACTGCATTCTATGCACTCATTTGCTAGAGAATTCTTTTTGAAATGTTTTCTTAAAATTAAAAACTAGAAAAAAATATTTATCAGCTAAGTACTGAAAACCAAAATATAATCAATTAATCAATTAAACGAAATATTATATCAATTAATATGTCTGAATAAGTAACGGAAAAAATACTCTGAGTAAAACGATTCTGGATAATGATGTATCCCCAGAGCTACCACGGCTCAGTTGAGTTAGTGTTTAGTTTAGCTCAGAGATGGGCAAACTTTTTCAGTCGAGGGCAAAAAATTGAGGAAAAAAAAAGTTTGGTGCGCTAAGTAAAAACTTCTAAGATAAAATAAAAAAAACGATATACAATTTTTTTTTACCTACTTTTTTTACCTAATTTAAATATTTAATGAGATGAATGAAATTGCGATTTCATTTTTAAAAGTTTCTTATATTGGGTTTAGAAGTGAGATGTACCTATTTTAAGAACCGAGGCTAAATGTTCGTCTGCTAGTCTACTTCTGAAATGATTTTTTTCTAAGGTTCATAGTTGAAAACACTTGTTCATATATATAAGATGAAGCAAACATAGACTGATTGCAACTCAATACTGCAAGGGTATGAAATATTAAATTTGAGAAACTAGCTTTTGCTAATGATTTGCAAAACTCAAACTTTGGCATATTTAGAAACAACTGCTTCAGATGGTGCTATTCTATAAAGAAGTTAATTTTTTAGTCTTTAATTTTTTAAGAAAAAGATAAAATCTTGTATTTTTAAACACAATGACAAACATTTCCATATTAAAATTTAATGACTGCTAAACTCAGTGTTCCCAATAGCATTCGATACAGAAATTAATAAACAGAAGAAAGTAAT